CTCATTAATATTTGTCATCTTAGCATTCATGCATATGTGTTTGTTCATGAGAAATAAAATTACTTATTCATGTTTTCACGTTTCAGCATATCACTTGTGTAACTTATTTTAACGTGTTATTCTGCATTTATGTATCATTTGCCGTGCATTTGCAATCATCCTTGCATATTTTAGTAATCATACATATTAAACATTTAGCTCATTTATAAAATAAGTTCACGTGCTCTTTAATGCAAACAAAGGCTCACAAGACACAAGACAACATGTGATGGGCAGCACTTGTTCCAGTTTTCACGTTTCAGCATATCACTTGTGGAACACAAAGCTCATGCTCCATACTGGACGGTTTTTGAGGAGGTTATTTAACATATTTTCATGGTACAAAACGACAACAAGGCTATTAAAATATAGCACAAGTTGGAGCAGCGTATTGAAGCTCTTATCCAGCTCACTCTACGGCAATTAAGGATATGTGGGAGACAACATGTGATGGGCAGCACTTGTTCTTGTTATAACAGCACTATACATTAAAATAACTTGTTATTTTAATCATATAGGAACACCAAGTGATCAGCCCCATGCTGGACGGTTTTTAAGGGATTCTTTGAACACAAATCCAGCACATAACACGACCATGTGGGTTGATAAAGAATGGATAACGTTTTGGAAGCTTATGGAGCATTTAAAATGTGCCCATGAAGCTCGGTTTAATGGAGTTTTTCTTGATCTCTTCCAGCTCAGAAGTCACGTAAATTCTGGGCAGAATAAGAGGGGAGTTCGGCTGGAAAGTGCAACCCACTTGTTCTTATCATATGTCCACTTATTTGAGCAAAAGAAGACAAATCCCACGTGAAACTTGCTGGAGAACTTCATTCATACAATTGCAATTGAAGACAACCCACGTGCTCTCCATTGGATATGAAACACGCCATTTGTTGATCTGTCCAAACAGCCCATGTGATTACACAATTGTTTGTCTCCACTAGCTAACAATTGAGGAGTTACACGTGCTAAATCAATCAAGGGGACAAGCTTCTACAACTCCACTTGCCCTTGTCTCCACGTAATGTTGTTTTCCACCAGCTATCAAAGGAGCATTCGGCCAACACACTCCACCAAACAATCTGACCGATTCTTGCATGAAATTCTGCTCAAATTAGGGGTCACGCCAATGGCCACCATGAGGACATTCGGCCATGCAAAGTATAGAACACGTCCATGTTTCATTTGTATTTCTAATCTTATAAATAGCTTCATTTTGCATTGTAAAAGAGATATAGACTTTGTTTTAATGAAATTGTGAGAGTTTTCTCTAATCGAGTCCTTCGTGACTTTTATCGACTTATCAAGTAATTCGTTACTTGTGGCGTCATTCCTTTCACCTTGATACTTATGGTTCCTATCTTTATAGATAGCGGGTCAAAGTCCGATTTACCATCCCTTATCGAAGCAATATAAATTTGGGTCGTTGTTCTTTAACATCGGTTCTTCTTTGAGTCTTCTTTAAGATACTATCGTTTCACCATCCCATAATTCGTTATCCATATTATTACCAAATCCGAGTCTTCCGCTACTATCTCTTAAACCGACCATTTACCATCACATTTACCACCGTAAACTATCCGTTTCTTATCTTTATCTTATGCAGGTTGTTTTGCTTCCTTCCTAGATCCACAATCGATCGATGAGGTCCGTCGTGATCGCGTCAGTTATCTTCTTGATCTGAAGTTACATCACCACTATTCAAGAGTAGTATGGCATTCCTATTAGGGCATTGGTTGGAAACATGTCCCCTGCCTAAACATTTGAAGCAGTTGATGTCTCTGGACCGTTCATAACTTGAAACTTGTTTGTTCTTATCATCCATGTTAATTGGTTTGGTGTTGACCTTCATATAATCAATTTCCTTTGTTTGTAATGGCATTGGCTTCCTGGAAGGGCTGTTTTTATTCCACCTTGATGTTGAAGGATTTCCAATTCTATTTTCTATTCTTCTCCTCAATTGCCTCTCAATTTTGAATGCAACTTGTACCATTTAATCAATTTCAACATAGTATTGCAATTTAACTAAGTTGGCAATTTTTAGATTCAAACTTGAAAGGAATCTTGCCAATATAGCCTCCTGGTCTTCATCAATGTTAGCACGGATCATTGCAATCTCCATTTCCTTATAGTAATCTTCAACACTCTGGTTGTCCTATTTAAGATTTTGCAACTTGTGAAATAAATCACGATGGTATTGAATTGATACAAACCTTTTGCGAACTTTTGCTTTCATCTCAACCCAAGTGTTGATTGGCGTTCTCCGTTCCTTCTTGAATTCACCAATTAATTCCACCGAATTAGTGCATAATCAACAAATTTCATGGCAACCATCCTTACGTTTTTGTGCTTCGTGTAGTTGTGGCATCCAAAAATATGTTTTATTTTGGTCTACCAATCTAAGTATGTTTCTAAATTCATTTTACCTTGAAATGGATGGATAGAAACATGGATTTTATTGAGATTATCATCATATAAGAGACAAACTCCTTGGCTCCTTCGAGAAATCTGTGACACTTGGTCTTCTTCATCATTTTGTTCTGGCTCTTCATCACGCCTAGCCTGATTGTGCCTCCTTGGAATGGTATTTCCTCGTGACTCTTCAATTTTGTCTACTTTTTCATGAATAAGCTCAAGTAAAGCATTTCTCTCATTGTCGCTTGGGCATGAAGATCCAGAACATCCCCTTGACAATCATCATTAGAGTGAATAGACATGGTTATTGAAAATAAATATTAAAATGAGATTATAGGACCTTACCAAATGATTCACTCACAAAGACTCGCAAATCTGCTCCAAAGAAACTAGAATGCCAAACAATCACTAGTGTTTGCACTCTAGGACTTGATGATGTAATATATGATGATGTAATATTAATGAGCTAATATATAAGCCTTAGAAGCTGAATTAACAAGCAATGAGCTAAGTAAATTTAGATTAACATGTTGTTATGTTATAAATACAATGGATTTAAATTAAATGAATGCAAAACTAATGCAAAATAATAATAAACTAAGTAAACGTGTGATATATCATTATGCATCATATAATATGACTAAGTAGTTTTCATATGAACGAATATAAATGATTAAGGAATAGATTAAGTATAACATGCATACATATGACATATATATCAAAGTATTCATGTAAATAAATAATGAAACAAAAGGAAAGAAGAATAAGAAAGATTCCCATTGATGCAAGTCTTGGACGTTTGGAGTAGTGATCTTTGAGCCTAGCCATGTGTGTATCATTAACTCTAAAACTTTCAATTCTATTCAATCTGTCATGAAGGGGCTCTAGTTCTACTCTCATTAAATGTGTCATTTCTTGAATAAGGGCATGATTTTGCAAGTTTAGGGCTTCTTCTTGAGGTGATTGACATGATTCTCTAGACATGGTTAGAAAAATATGAAGGAAACAAATGTGTAAAAAAGACCTTACCAATATACTCTCACAAAGAACCTCAGTATGCACTATAAAGAAAGAAGAATGGCACTCAATTCTCTCATGTTTGCACACAAGACACAACTTGGCTTTTACTATCCTCTTCTAATCTCTCCCACTCAGTTGCCTTTTACCACTCAGTCCTCTTGTGCAAAAGTCCTGAAAGTAACTTTACTCAAACCTTTCTCAAGTCTTAGTGTAACACCCATTTCTCGTATACGTTTTCGTACACAAGTCACAGGTGTCATGTGAATTTTAAACAAGACTTATCAAGGTATTACCTTGTGGCATCACCTTATTTACCACCAGGACATTGATCTTATAAGGTTAGGGGTTCTGCTTTCTATAGCATTATTTCTACCTTAATTCATTGTTCATACTATTTATCGCCTATCTTCTTTCTTTCTTAATCATCAAACACTTGTCCCTTAAATCACCACTTTCGCGTCATTTCAACCAAAATTTCTTTTCAAAGTCTTTTTTTTTTGGGTCACCTTAATTCGATCGGGAACACAAGTAATCTTTACTTGAACTACGAAGGTGGGATTTCATCAAAACTGAAGTAGAAAACAACATTGAATAGATCTCGTGATGACAAACAATATAGAAGAAAGAGCAGGTAAAATATAGTAAAAGGAGCAGCATAAGAAGCTAAGAAGTTTGAGGTAAAAAAAAAAGAAGAAAATACCCAGAAGAAAGAAAGAGGTGAAGCAGGGCTGTTTTGATTGAATATGGGTGTGTAGATCTGTAATGCAAAATTGCATTGGAGTGTTTCATTAAGAGAATATAAAGACATTTATAGGTTTATTAACTTAAAAATAGGGTAAAGTATAAAAATTATCCTTTGATCATAGGATATTATTTTATTAAGTCCCTTCACTATTAAAAAATATAAAATGATTATTCAATTGTTCATATGTTTCAAACTCGATCTTTTTTGTAAAAAACAATTGACGACCATATAAGTTAGACATTATTTATTGACTGGGATATGATAAAATTTAATCTCAAAACCGTTTAAAATGTAATTTATGAATCAAATCTGTTAACATTATATAAACATGTTGATTGGCTTGACAACATAATATAGACAAAGTCCATAAAACACAGCTCAAATTATTCTGAGATTATGTTTTATTATATCTCAATTAGCATGTTAATATCCAACTCAAACTATCACCATTTTATTAGAAAAAAATGAGTTGGAAACAAGAATGAAGATTACAACAGGGTTAAGAGACCAACCATAATTGGAATGCTTGAAACCAACCAAAAAAATCAATTAAACACCGATAGATGGACAGGAAAAAACATGTTACTTTTTAGTTTTTACTTTCCCAGTAAGAATGGTCTAAACTCATTTTTGTCATTTGTTTCCATCAACAAACAGCCAAATATACATACATTAATTTGTCTATTCATTTCAAACTGCAGATATCTCAACATCAAATCGATTCAGGAATTGAAATGGAACAATTCAAGCTCTAACAATACACTCAATATGTTTCTAAACACATCGGATTTTCTGTGATTTTGGATGCCTATTTGTTGGTGAATCAGATGAGCAGATAGCTGTTCTATTCTGCATGATGTATAATGTATGGTACGCACAAGTGGTTCTCTATTAAGTCTTAACCTCCAAAACAATCTCCAATTACTGTAGATCCACAATCAAATGGTGGAAACTAGCTCTTTAGATCTTTGATTATTCTGGTAAAACCCTTTACTTAAGCTAGAATGAAACTCGTAAAAGTCATCTGCTTTGCCAGGGTAAGCTTGTTTTGGTTGGGACATAAGATACTGAGAAAAGGCAGTTATGTATAACCATTTCCAAGAAAATCCTCATGTCAAAAGATCAAGGCATTAGGTTCTGCATCAAGATTTTGGTTGTCTGCATATTAGACAAGTATGAAATCAAACTGAAAAGACAGCATTGAAGCATACATCAATGATGCATATAATATGTACAAAAGCGTACCAGCCTTCAATGTTTGACCTAATTGATTTAGGTTTTTGTTGATGCCTTCATCAGATTTCATTTCGACTCTCTCCTCCCTCTTTCTCTTTCCTGCAGAGCTCAAAGAACCATCAACTGCAAAGCAATTAAGCGGGGGTACTCATCAATATTGGAAAAGTTACACTATAGATGCTAGAACAAATATCTGTAATCGCACGCTAGCTTCAATTTGAACATCAGAACATTGGATAACGGTTCTCAAGAAGCTCATTTGACTAATAGTTAAATACTAAAAATGACAATACGACAGTTTTGGAAAAATTCAAGCTCCCTAATTGAAGTAAAACACACAAATAAAGATTTTGAACCTTGCCATTCCCACGCCACTTTTGATTCACCCTTAACAAGCTTAGGGTAGCGATCTACTCGTGAATCATCCTGTAGCAATTCCTCAACCTGAAAAGATGTTGAAGGTTGATATCAAATTAGAGGATACAGGTTATTTCTTAAAACCTTACAGATTACTTGACTAAAATCTCTTTGCAATTTGAACTTCAATCTATGAACATAAATCGAATCATGGTTTACACCTAACTTCTAAACAAATACGAAAGAAAAGGCAACAGCTTACCGGATCAACGAGCATAGGCATGTAAAACAAACCTTTTTCCATAATTGAGGATCCCTTCTTTCCCTAGGCAAAAGGAGATGATCTCGCAACCATGAAGCAACAACCCATGATTCACCTCCCCCATCCATGCTCTTCGACCTCAAGGCATTCTCCTCAAGCATGTCGCAGACCTAACAAGGAAAAGCAATTAGTTACCATATTAATAATTATTTAAATATATATATAAGAGAATCGAAGATCCATTTTTCTCCTAACTTTTCAGAACACATTCAAATTGGTTACAATTTTAAACAATCACATAAGATTCAGGGATATCATCAAAAGCATGAAAACTTTTGAAAGCAAACATTTCCATTTTATAAAGGGGAGGCATACAAGATAATTATTCTAAACTTCGGAAATTTGAATCGAGAGCACTATTTTCACAAACTGCTAACATCTCACATTTTGTCACGCTTGCTATCTCTTTTTTCATCATTACCTAAATTTTATGTCCAAAGGTTATATTCATTTTAATTTGAGGCGATAATTTTTTAAAAATATTGATTTCTTTTAAGCCTATATCCATTTGGAATCCATCCCAGCTGAGTGTCTAGAAGCACAGGGTAATAAATAATGCCAAGAATTTTGAGTAAATTGTTAAACTGTTACAAAGAAAACCACTTAAATAGCCTGACACACAGTATGTAAAGAAGATAAAACATTAATTTACCTTAACTGTACATTGAAAAATTTGTGTACCTGATTGTATAGCTCCTCTGCTCTAGCTGAAAGATACCTTCTCTTACGGACTTTCCAAAATAATACTGCGCATCCTATGAGCTATAAAGCTGAACATTGTTAACAACTTTCAAAATGTTGATACTATAATTAAAGAATTCAAAGGATGACTTTCAGACAGGATTACCGCTGCACAAACAGGCAAAATTATAAGAGCATGCTTGTAGACCAATTCACGGACAAGACAGATCAAAGGTTTGTAATACTCTGCCAGATCATCCGGACACTTGAATTCCTGTAACCTATTGAAAAAACCTAAGAGAAATGTAAATTAAAATTTTCAAAATGCTGAAACATAAAATAGATTATGACAAGCATACCCATGGAGATTTGTTCTTGTCTCTAATAATTTAGCTATTGTCTCCATTGCCTTTCTTTTTGTATACACGTATGAGGTATGGTCTGAGCCAACATTTTGCATCAACTTGTTTTCATCTAAATCATTCCAGAGATCATTTTCCTGAACCTGAAAACAGTACATGTTTCGATCAATTGACATAGTTATGTATGATTTCTAGGATACATAATTTACTGTAATATGCATGCATTTTCATATGAGATCGAATATCATGAGATACCCAAACTGTCCCAGTCCCATAGCACAAGACTTCAGCATAAGCTTCACAAAGGCCAGCTTCTACCCATTTGGACTGCAATGCATAAATGATAATCAGAAGAAAGAAAAAAGTGCATATAATATTCCAATGCAAAAGATGTCATAGTTATTAGAATATCTATGTACCAAACTGTGCAAAATATTAATAACATACAAGTTTCTTAGTTGTTTCATTGATATCTCGGTCTTCTATACACAGCTTTCCATGTCTTCTATAGCCATAAATACATTCCAACTTGCCTTCATAACATTCCCCATTACTTGGACAAGGCTCACAAACATCTGTAGTGATAAACATTTGTCAGAAGATTATTGAAATCCATCATTTCGAAGCAGGGAATTTGAAACTAGAATTAAGTAGCATCATATATATGTGTGTATGTGGGGGTCAAGATCCACTTACGCAATGTAAAAAATTCTTAATTTTACATTAATTTAAAAACATTGAATGAGTGAAAATAGACAAATAAAATTAACTCCTATTTTTTTCGATGAATATTTTATCATTTCTTATCATTAATTTAAGTTGTCTATTTTCTCACATCTAACTATCCTAAATCAATATAAAACTTTTTTAATTTTAAACTGTATAACCGGATCCTACCTCCCCACCCCCCCTCTCTCTCTATATATATATATATGAAGAGGAAAATTGGTTGGTTCATAAAAAACATGGAATCAACGTGCCCATAGTTAAAGCTACAAAGAAAACCAAATTAATAACCGAGTGGATGAAAATTCATAGGAAAAGATACCTAGAGAGCACAGTTTAACAAAAATGAAGAAACGGCACAAACTAGAGAGAGGGGGGGGAATATACCAGAGAATGAAACGGTGGGTTCTAAATTATCGCAAAAGGGTTTAGAGGTGGAGCTGAAGAGGGTGGCGAAGAAGTTGCAGGAAAGAGCTACTACGGATGCGATTGCGAGCACGGCTATGAGCCGCAAGAACTCGCCTTTCGAAGGGAGTAAGCTCTGGGGTGGCTCGATTATAGCGGTCACTGAAGATTTTAAAGCCGATGAAGAAGAATGTGAACTGTGCTTCGATTTTGAACGCTGTTTGGGCGTTGGGGAAGGCATTTTTGAGGTTAGGTCGACATCAACGATGTTAATTTCCTTTAACTATTCACCGCTAAAAAAAGCGAGTGAGGTAAAAACATGTTACTTTTCTCTCTCAATATTGAAATGGCAGTCATCTTCTTCTCCAAGGCCCAATTCATTCCAAGTTTCGACAACCTATTTTGTTTTGCTTTAAGGGTAAACTACATGTTTAGTATCAACTATTACTTTTATTTCATTTTGATCACTTAATTATTATTTTTTTCAAAATTATACTATTACGTTTTGATTTCATTTTGATCACTTATCATTATATGTTTTTCAAATTTTCAGTAATAATTTAATATTATTGTATGGTGACACATCAGTAGTTCTCAGAGATGGATCGAAGGGGTAGGGCAATCGTTTCTACAAAATTTAAAATTATCATATATATTAGATTTTTCTATGTACTTTTTATTAAAAATATGTTTTCATTCCCCAAGAATTTTATAAGTTCATCTCTTTTAAAATTTTAGAAGTTAGCTTACATAAAATGCTACGTGTATGTTTTTTTTAACAATGAGTGATTAAAATGAAACTAAAACGTAATATTAGATATAATTGTAAAATATGATAGTTGAGTAACCAAAACGAAAAGGAAAGTAATACATAGGGCTTTAAACATGTAATTTACCCTAATTTATTTATGGTAAGGCCAAGAAGGTCAAGGGGGAGACAAATGTAATTATAGATAAAGGGAAGGGTTAACGAGGTTTTACTCTGTTTCAAGGAATCTTAGCCGACAGCAATAAGGGTTTTGTTTTAGGGTTCTTCAATTGTTTCACGTAAGAACTCATTACTTTTCTTTTCAACTTTTCACTTGCACTTTCATCGAGTCACTGTATGATTTATCGTTAACAGTAATTTACATAGTAAATCCTCGAATGGCATGAGTTAGTAGTTTAGTTCATAATCCCCAAATGCATCGAAGAATCACCGTTTTAACCCTTGAAGTTATCAGAAATCCCCCAATTATCCCCTCCCGGAAAAACCCATTTTACTCCCAGTTTAATCCCTTTGCCTGGGGAGCAAATGGGTTAACTTCTTTTCGATTTTTTTCTTTTACACTGGTGCACCGGCGTGTATCTGATCCCGATGACCCTGCAAATCTTATGAAAGAAGATGGTGAATCAGTTTGTTCTCAGATGTGGATTGAGAATTTTAGGGAGCCTGATATGTTGGTTTCCAATTTGACCTCATATCTTTGTAGGTTCGAATTGTGGGTATTGGCTTATCAGAAAGTTTGTGCTGATGAAATAGGATCATTTGTGCCTCGTAGTTCAATTACTAGGTCTACATTGGACGATTTGTTAGCTTTGAGAAATGACGTTCTTGATAATAGGTTTAAGTGGGGTGCCAGGTTGGAATTCTTTATAAAATCACCTAAAGACAAGACGGATTATGAATCTTTATCAAAGATGAAGATTAAGGCGATCTTAACAACTACTCAACCTGCACCGTTTCAAGACAAGTTAGTGCAGGAGGTTTTGCTTATGATTTTGGAACCGATATATGAGGCTAGCTTCTCACACAAGTCATTTGCCTTTAGGCCTGGGAGGAATGCACATACAGTATTGAGGGTGATCAGGAGAATTTTTGCTGGTTATTTATGCTATATAAAGGGTGATTTAAGTGTGATTTTAGATGGATTGAAGGTGGGGTTGGTAATGAGTGCTTTGATGAGGGACGTGAGGGATAAGAAGATTATTGATTTAATCAAGCTGGCACTGGTTACGCCTGTGATAAGTAGTCCTGTTGATGGAGAGAAAGAGAAGAAAAAGAAATAGAGGAAAGTATCAGAAGAAGGTGTTGGCTGAGGATGAGCCAAAGCCCGATCCTTACTGGTTGGAGACATTTTTCGGTTTTGCACCACAGGAGGCAGAGAAACTTCCTTCATGGGGGCATTGTGGAATTCTTAGTCCCCTTTTAACTAATATATGTCTCGATGAATTGGACCGGTGGATGAAAAGTAAGATTAAGGATTTCTATTGTCCATCCAAGAGTGATGTTATATGGAATAGTTTTGAAGGGGAAGCAGAACAGAGGAACACATCTTGGCCAGAATTCATTCCAACTAGTGGGCCAGATAAGACACGGAAGATGGACTACATACGATATGGAGGTCATATTTTGATTGGTATCGGTGGGCCAAGGGCAGATGCAGCAACACTGAGGAAACAGTTAATCCAGTTTTGTGATCAGAAGTATATGATAAAGCTCGATAACGAGAGCCTCTCAATTGAACACATAACCAAAGGTATAATGTTTCTTGACCATGTATTGTGTCGAAGAGTGGTGTATCCCACTCTTCGGTATACTGCAACTGGTGGTAAAATTATTAGTGAGAAAGGTGTTGGCACCCTTTTGTTCGTCACAGCAAGCTTGAAACAATGCATCAAGCAATTTAGGAAGTAAAACTTTCTTAAGGGTGATAGGGAACCAGACCCACAACCATGTTTTAGGATGTTTCATGCTACTCAAGCTCACACCAATGCTCAGATGAACAAGTTCTTGTCAACAATGGTTGAGTGGTATAGATATGCTGACAATAAAAAAAAATTGTTAATTTTTGCTCCTATATCATTAGGGGTTCCTTAGCAAAGCTCTATGCTGCAAAGTACAAGCTTCGTTCATGAGCAAAGGTTTATAAAATTGGTGCAAGAAATCTGAGCCGTCCTCTAAATGAGAGGAAAGGACAGTCGCCGGAGTACCAGAATCTGCTGAGAATGGGCCTTGCTGAGTCAATTGATGGGCTTCAATATACCAGAATGTCTCTCATTCCAGAGACTGATTATACACCCTTCCCTAGCAATTGGAATGATGATCCAAAAACTTTGGAAGAGCAAAGAAGTTGCATTCGAGAGCATGGACTCATTTCACTGCAGGACTACATATCGATGCTAGTATGGAACTACAAGAGAGATGCAATTGTGATGGATCAGCTTTCCCTAGTCAAAAGTGCTATAAATAGTTCAAAGGGAGATGATGAGAACTATGATACTGAGAGCAAAGATGAGGAGGTATCTGAAGAAGGGCTTCACGCTTCACAAATTTAAGAATAGATTTTGCAGCCAGTGCAAATCTTGGTTAGTATTGCATTGCATATCTTTGTTAATTAACTAGCTTTTTATCGTTTATCTTGAACTGTTTCGTATTATTCTTTGATGTGATACCTTGTGTATGGTGTGTTAGGCATGTGCCCTGTCCAATAGTTGGTGCCCTATGCTGACTGGTAAGTGAATGTGATGCTTATAATCATGCTTTTCTGCTACGTTTTCTCAAATGAGCTTTGTTAGTTCATTTAATAAGGTTTATAGTTTTTGGGGGGTTAACAAAAAAGGTTCAGATTTTAAAATTTCAACTTTGTAACTTTTCCATGGTTGCCTATATTACTGATGGAATTAAGAGTTGCATGTCCCTTGACATATATCTCAAAAGCTAATGGTAGTATTTTGATTTAGAAGCATAACATGAAGACAACTGATCTTCAATCTATGAAGTAATGATCTTAAGATTCAGCTGAATTTATCATCCAGGAACATGCATTATGTGTTGACACATAATTTCGTCTCTGCAATTTTATAATATTTACATATATATATATATATATATATATATTAGTATTAATGTTATTTACTTTTATTGTTTACATATTACAGGCCCAAGTGAAGGTGCCCCACAACTTAAACCAGTGGCCAAAGAAGGAATAAATGGCACATTTTTCAGGTAAGTGGGGGGATCTGCTAGGGTTCTGGAAACTAGCTTGGTTCGTGGGTCCAATGCTGCTTCGGGCCATTTATTCCTTCTTTGGCCACTGGTTTAAGTTGTGGGGCACCTTCACTTGGGCCTGTAATATGTAAACAATAAAAGTAAATAACATTAATACTAATATATATATATATATATATATATATATATGTAAATATTATAAAATTGCAGAGACGAAATTATGTGTCTACATTATGCATGCAGAAATGTCTCATCTCTACAGCCCTTTCGGGTTAATTTCTTTCTTGTTCTATGACTCCACCCTCGTTTTTTCAATGAGCCCACTTGTTTATTGCTTAAATGCATACTTGACATAATGTATATGTTCAAGTGTGTACAAGCAGGGAGGCTGGAGATTTTCCTGTCCCTTCTTTTATTCAAAGAAGAAAGATCATATTGCTTCATTTAATCATATGCTGACATATTGCATTGCTGTTGCATTAATAATGTATGTACTCATTCCAATGCCTTTGATGTTTCTTGCTGGCTCCGACGGTTATTCTCTTTTATCTGAATCTGATAATGGGAAACTTTTTTTTTTTATTTTTTTGCCTTAAATTTGGTGGTTTACAAGATTTTATCCTCTTTTTCAGTTATCTTCATCATTTGACACTCGTTATTTATTTGTAATTTTTACGTCTAACAGTTGGGTGACTGCAACAAGGTTCTTGACTGGAGCTTCTGCAATTGGAAGCATTGCTGTACCAGCTATCCTAAAGCATGCTGGAGTTATCGGTTGGGGTGCATTAGTGATGTAACTTTCATCGTATTTCATATTTTTACTAGCCATTCTGGTTTACATTCGAATGAATGATGATGGTGATGATTACAATTACTTCTGAAAGATGACTAATTCAGTTCCCATCAACAATCATGTGAAGCACAGCTAAAATCCATTCAAGGGAAGCTGCTCCTTTCCTGTTTTGACTGGCATCAGCCCTTGTTTGTTCTTTTATAGTTATTGGATCATATAATGAGTGCCATTATTGTCTTAGAATATGTTAAACTGAAGAAAAACAACAAGAAATCCGCTTTATGATAGAGTGATTATTAATTATATGCTTATTGTCTTGAGAAAACCTAGTTTGAGTTCCCATAATTTTCTTAAGTTCATTCATTGTCAAAAGACACCACGAAATTGAGTGTTGATTTGCTTCCCTGCAGAGTGTCCCATTGACAAGGCTCGAGCTCATCAAAACAGGGCAAAATGCAGCTACGTTAGCGGTTACCTTGCATGCAGTAGCAGCTACGAACCAGATTTCGAAGATCACACCCCTGGGGCTTGGCACTTAAAACAGTCGGGGCATCATTGGACTCGGTTGTTGTTCGGTTTTGAGTTGCCAAATAACCAAGAGTAAAGACCCGTGGTTGTTGACCAAGCTTTTTGACGCCTGAATGGTTTTGTAGAAAGGAAATCGGGTGGATTTACTCAGAGCATGGGATTGAAAAACTGTCAATAACTGAAATTATAAACTTAAAAGTCAAATAAGGTCAAATCTATGATAATCATTAATATATCGATCCATAGCATATAAATGATATAATCTATCAACACAACACAATCTCAAGAACTGAAAAAGTGTAAAATCTTATTGCCAAAGATCAAGCCTGAAGTCAAAAGGATCAAATTGATGTAAAAGATAAGAGCAATCTCACTGCCAAAATGATGAAGCGTGAAATCCATATATCAACAGAACTGAAAAGAGTAGTAATCTCAATGCAAAAGGCTGTCAAAGATTAAGCCTGAAATCCTCTCGAGACATGTCAAACTTCTGAAAAAAGTAAGAAACCCTTTAAATTTCCTCAATTACAAGCTTTGGAGCTCCTAAAATCCTTTTTCAACTCAGCAACTCTCTTCATACAAGCAGCCTTGGATTTCCCAGGCACAGAAGCAGCAATCTTCTCCCACCTCATGGCCACATCTTTAGGAAAAGCTTTCAGAGCATTAAGCAAAGTAATGTCTTCCACTGAATTCCACACGACTGCTCCACCACTGCTACTGTCTTGATTACCCATTGTCACTTCATCGCCTTCATCATTGACTCTCGTATTAAATGGCTTCCTGTTCTTCAAAAACTTGGCATATGAATCTGCATCATCCACTTTTTTCTCTCCCAATTCTTTTGCCTTCTTTATTACACTTTCCATTTTATGTCTCCCGTTAAAGGCTGCAGCTATAGCCTCCCATCGACCCGGTTTCCCCACCGGATTCTTCCCCATTCGTTTCTTCAACATCTCCACATCCGCCTCACTCCATTCCTTTTCCCCTCCTTCGAAATTGTTCCCAAAATCTTCCTTTTTCGATAACCCATTTGAATCTTTACTTTTCACCTTCAAATTAGGAAACCCATTCGCGTCTTCAGCTAAAGAAGCGCCGTTTCCACCGGGTTCATCGACTTTATCAGCCTTTGACCGTCTCTGGGAATATTTCTTCTTAGATTCAGGCTCGGGTTGAGGCTCTTGATCGATGGGATCACGGATGATGGGTCCAACACCAACGCGAATGTCACCGCCGGTGAGGGAAGGAGGGGCGAAGGGGCCGACGAGGAGGGAGAGAGAGAGCCAGAAGAGAAGGGATTTGAAGGGCTCAGACTCAATGGCGAAGAGGAAAAGAGAGAGAAGAAGGGAAGAGATTGAGAGGGAAACGAAAAGCAAGAATTTTAAGGGGTTTTGTGGGATCTTTTCTTGGGATGACGAATAGGGTTGAGGACGAGATTGGAAGAGAAATCTGGGTCTGGCGTCCTCATCCAAAAACTCCATGATTTCTTCTGTAATTTTTCACATGCTGCGATTGCTATGTATGAGAGAAGGCCAAATTCTGGCTTTCTAAATTTAATTCTCTTCCTTTTTCCTTTTTGCCTTTTTCCTTTTTCCTTTTTCCTTTTTCTTTAAGGTCATATAAGCACAAACTTAATCACTTTGAGGTAAATAAATTATTGTTACCTTTTTAGATATTGAATTTGAACATTAAAAATATTAAGAGTATAAATATTTAAAATTAGTTTGATAAATTTTTAAAAAATTATTTTTAAAAGTACAGTGGAAAAGAATTTTTAAAAGTAACATTTAGAAATGTAGTTTAAAATTTAATTGTATAGAATTACTGTTAAAATGAGTTTAAAAAAATAAAATATCACTTATAGACATTACGTTGTAAATTTAAAATATAGAATTTAAATTATATTTATACTTATTAATACTATGATATATAAAATACAACAATTTTTTTATTAAGCTAAGATGATTATAAAATAGCATCTATTCTAAATACTTTTAACCTTTTGACAATGAACGCTCAATCACCTTGCTGCAGCTGCTGGTGCTCAAACTCGTGACCTCTAGGAACATTAACGATTCATTTAATCACTGAAATAAGTTAATTTGTAAAAAAATATCAACTTAAACTATAATAAAAATATAAAAAATTTAAGATAACTCATTAATAATATTTTTATAAATGAAATATTTTATTAAGAAAAATATATTATGAATACTTTTTATGTAACACCCCCAACCCGTACCCGACCCGGATACAAATCCGAGAAGTCACATTGACTTTTCAAAACGTTTACTCTTACAAGATGGTTAAAAATTCAAATTCACATTTCAAGAAAACTGAATATTTTACATTAATTACAATCATATAATTTTACAAAACCAATCAAAGTATATCATGTTTACTCAGGTTGGCTATAATGATGCTTCACATGATGATGCAGCACAAAGCCAGTTTGGTGCGTCTAATCCCAACCAGCTTCAGTCCCAAATAGGTTCTTATATCTTTGTGTATTGATACAGAATTATTGGCCAAATTGTCAAGTTGGCTATATTTAAAATCTACGTCCTAATAGCAAGTTGCTTGTCCTACAGGTGACCATTTTTCAAAAACACGCCAAACGTTGGGGGACTTAAGTGAAATTTTTTCCTAGAGTTTTCTATAAATATCAATCTTTTCTTTTCTTTTTCATTTCATTTTTTTAATTATTTTTCTAGAAAATCGGTGGGTGGCCGGCCACACACCTTCATCGTCCGTCGCCGTCCACCGTCGTGCCGCTGCGTCGCCGCCATCGCCGATGGCTGATAGCTACTAAATTACATTGAGAGGTTCGTCTCGACCTCCTCGTCTCTGATTTGGGGTTGGTTTCGTGAGAATCAACCCCAAACTCCACGAATCTAGCCGAAACCATTCGACCTTCCTCCCTCCGATCCGTCGCCGTCCGTCATTGGATAGTCCTCATTTTCAAGTATGTGGTTATTCTCACCAATGCGCAGCTTCTCATTATTGGGATCGGTGGAAACTGCCCCCGAACGATGTTGATACTCCGGCCGAACGTAATCTTTCCCCTTTTTCTTTTTTCTTTTTTTTATTTCGAACTTATATGATAGAAAAGAAAAAATATATATACTACTGGAACGAACGAAAGAAAGAAAAAAATACTCTGTTGTTGTATTAATTCAGCCATGGGGAAATTATTACAAAATTTCTTTTAGAGAAAAGAATGACATAGGGGAGAAAATTAGGGGGAAGAGTCTCCCCTTACAATCGGTTTTTCTTTTTTTCCCAAAATTCAACCCCTTTTTTCTTTACACTCCTTTCTGGGTTTTTTTTATCTAACCCATTACATATGCAAAATAATCAATTGTTGATGTTGCTGTTGATGAAATGTTGACAGGGCATGGATGACTGGAGCAGCAGGGTATGGGCATGGGATGGAGTTGCATAGGAGGTTGGTGGTGACAGCATCAGGGATGGTGTGGGACTGAACAGGGTCGGGTTTGTTGGGCTCCGGGTTTGGGCCGAATAACTTTTAATTTGGGCTCATTTTGGGTTGTAATTGGGCTTCGGTGAAGCATGAAAAATGTAATAAAATAAAAATAATAATAATAATTAATAATATATATATATGTATTTATATTAAACCCGGACAAAAGCGGGTGCCTACAGTACTCATATCTATAAAACAAATCAATATTGCTTCTACTTCTTGTTAAACCTCCCAATAATCTTTTCCTCTTATCTTCTGTAAACCTTACTTTTCCCCTTTGATAGCTTATTATAAATTCTAAGCAATATGTATATGGTATTTTCCTCAACGATAACTCTCTAAAAGCATCTCATACCACTTATATATAACTAAATGGTGACTTCTAATATATTACCGGACAATGTTCATATACTCCATGGATTGATGGTAAATACAAGTATATATGGATGTGGACCAGTGTAAACACTAAGTTTTTGTCCAAATTATTATTATTACATTTTATTTTTATAATAATTACAGGCTATTTTACACAAACCCGATCTAGATCCAGACCCGATCCGGCCTATACAACCTGACCCAGTAAGGCTCGAATCCAGTTAGGGTTTTTAAACCCTATCTTCAACCGCCAGCAATCTCATCTGTTGGATATGAAGAGATCCAACAGTCCAAAGAAGATCCAGCAGAAACCCTAGGGTTTACCAACCCTAGGGTCTATTCCGGCGCCGCCTTCAACTACTCCGAACTGTTTCGCCGTTATGATCCCTAGTAAGCTGCTGCCACGACACCATCCTCAACCAAAACTTCCAGAAGATGGTAGGAGGACCGCACACGTCGCAACTCACCGAAGGGCACCCAATCATTCTGCCCGAGGAGAATAGCAGCATCGTGGTGGCCTATAAAAGGCCACCGATCCTGCAAGAAAAGGAGGGGAGAGAAAAAACGACGAACAGAGGAAGCAAACAATACGAAGACACATACAGAGAGCAACCATCGAGCAACTAAGGAAAAATATCAGAAGAATAGAGAGAGGAAGAAGAGACTTACCTACGACCGTTGGTCTTCAAACCGTCGCCGGAGAAGTTGTTTCAACCAAGGTAAAAGCTTCGGTTTTCTTTAGATCTAAGGAGATTTAAAGGTTTTTAGGAGGAGTAAGTGTCAGATTCGATATTAGGGTTAAAAAGGGATAATTTTGTATAATTTTCTAAATCCGACCACCGTTGGCTAGAATCGTTGGCAGGCGGTAGCCACCGATGACCGTTTAAAGGGAATTTATACCCTCATCAAAACGACACCGTTTTGGTGAGGGGTGTTTTTGTAATTTACTAATGGAAAATACGGTCTATAGTCCCTTTAAATTTTTAAATTTGTATTCTAGTCACTGAAATAAATTTTTGAGCCTTTTAATTCAATATTTGAATTTTGTTTTATTATAATTTAGTCACTGGTAATATATGTTTTAAATATTTAGGGTAAATATATATTTAGTTCTTATAATTTTATAATTTTTTTATTTTCATCACTTATAATTATATAGGTTAAATCATGCTGTTAATATTTATATTTTATGATATTTCGAATTAATGCCTTTAATTTTGATATTTTATATTTTAATCTCTAATATTTGAATAATTTTCATTTTAAACTAGAAGTTTTATTTTTTATTTAATCCTATATTTTTATTTTAGTCAATATTAATTGCAATTTTATTTTTAACCTTTAGGCTTTAATTAAACTTAGTTTTTTTATTACATGCAACAAAGAATTTTGGTTTTGAAATTTTATATAAAAAGAATTTTATATATATTTGGTGTTGAAATTGTACATGATTGGTTTGATTTTAAGTTTTTTTAGTCTATTAACAGTAATAAAATATTATCTTTAGTTTTCATCTTTAACTTTAAAAGGAAAAAAAAACAAAAGTATGATTATTTTGAGTAAAAGTTTTGTTTCATGTGCTTTCAATTCCAATTTCAAACAACTAGCTACATATAGACTAGTTATATATACGCCTGTAAACGAACCGAACGCACACGAACGGATGTATGTTCATGTTCGTTCATTTAATAAATAAGCGAACATAAACGAACACGAACATAAACGAACAAAAATTTTTTTGTTCATGTTCGTTCATTAAGGAATATAGCTTGTTCATGTTCGTTCATTTAATAAATAAACGAACATAAACGAACACAAACATAAACGAACACGAACATAAATAAACTCGAACATAAACAAACATAAACGTTGGAGACCCTACCTTCCATTGTTCTTTCATGAAAAATAGTCGACAATGCAAATCAACCAAATCTACAGTGATAATAGCGTAAGAGCTTATTAGCAGTGATGAAATGTTTGAAGATATCAGATATTTCGATCAATCTTTTAAAGATATTAAATTATTCACACAACTTTAGAGTTAATTTTTTTCGAACACGACAAAAACATACATAAATCATAAGTAAGCTATATGAATATAATAAAGTCTTAAAGTTAATTTGTTCAACAAAACAATCTTCTTGAAATCCAAACAACTTCAATAATATTCGTAATATATTCATCTTGCATTCATGATCAGTCGTTAATTCATCATCCATCCTGATCAAAATCAAACAAATAAAATTATATTAAATTAAAGGAGTTATAAAAAAAGATGAAAAATATACTAAATTAGCGAGGTTATACCAATTCATTCATCCTCATTTTCAAAGAATCTCAACATGTATGATATCTTCGTTTTGCTACAACAAATCAAAAAACCAAAAATATATTAGTCATTGTAAAACCAAATTCAATAAAACATAAAACATAAAAATACATTGTTTTTATTTTTCTCCAACCCATAGTATTGACGATACCAATCAGCTCCACAAACAAGCATATCTACCATCTTAGTTCCTAAAGAGGATCGATGCGGTTTAATAACCCTCCCACCAGCACTGAAAGGAAATTTAGAAGCAACAGTAGTGACCGGAATTGCCAATATGTCAGCAGCCATTTTTGACAAAATGTTAAATTTAATATTGTTC